TGCGCTCTTGCCCTATATATAATTATGTGAGTTAGAGGCAGCCATCTTGGATTATGATGCAGCCACTTTTTGAAAGGAACCGTTCTTTTGCCTAGATGCAGCCACCTACTGAAATTAAAGTCAATGCACTGCTTATCTTTCAAGTTATCACAGGATGGAAGGACATTTATAGTAGCAGTCATCTTGGATTTTGATGGGCAGCCCAATGTAATTCCGGTTCAGTTTCGTGGTTTGCATGAACAACTGTGCAATTTGACTGAATGTTAATGTCGGAACATGTGATGCAGACTACAAAAATGTGGCCTTACCTCCTTCATGCATGGTGGCTCCCCTCTTGGTTATGGGTGGACCATCTCCAGCTGCCGTACGCGCGATTACTTTAAAGATGTAATAGCTGTTAGGGTCCAGACTTTTCAGCTCAGAGGAATTGACATCTGGATCACTGATCATGTGTATTTGCAGCGGGCTGTCATGGCTTTCCACCTCTAAACACACACCACAAACATGTCAGCTAGGTTACACTTTAAATATGCACAGTCTGTTAGTATTTGACCTCAGTTCTTACACCAGTTTATTATTGGCTAACCGTGAGTGGTGATTTGGAGTACCATGGAGTGATCCAGGCCTTCAGTTAGGATATAATATTGTACTATTAGATGTTATCAGAAACTCCATGGACCCACCGTGCGGATTCATAATTTTAGTTTCAGTTTTAGATTTAATTAAGTCACTGGAAATCTATTCTCCTTTTTTTTATTCATCAAGTAAATGGTCTGGCATGGTGGTGTCATATTTTTACAGTCACTAACAACAACTTGAACATAAATGCCAACCCAACACTGAACAGAACCAACAGGAGCAACCCATCTGGACACAGAACTTTAAAAACACCACCTATTTCTGTCCCAAGATTACCTAGAGTGCCCTGCGGTTCACAAAGGCGTACGTTCACATAAAACTTGTAATTTCAAAAAGTTACAATGAAATTTAACTTACTTATACTGTTTCTGTAAAAATTTCATCATGAGAGGTCTAACTGATTGTTTTCCTTTGTACCCCTCTAAACAGTTTGTGGTTAAGATTTTGGAATGCACTTCTGACACTAAGGGGGCCCTCAGCAAGATCTATACTCTGCTCCAGTGGTGTAGTCTATGTTATATGCAGATATACGCCACTAGAAAGGCTTGGGAATTTCAGTATAACTACTTAAAAGTGCCCAATGACACGTGACATATTGGGTATGTGTCATTGTCAACACATTTAGAACATTTTCTAGACACATTGAGTTGGTTCAACCTGTTTTTTGTATAATTAATACTTGAGTACTTACTACTTAATACTTGAACATGTCTTGCTTTGATACTGTTTTATAAAATCTATAACATGCTTTTAATACAAAGTCAACTGTGGTACAAAGTTTGTGGTACATTTATTCAAATATAAGCATCAGAGAAATTTTGAAATGTTCAATATGCTTAAAAAGCTAAATAAATTGATGAATACATTGTACTAACTGGTGTACTTTGGTTTCTAAGCATAGTATACCCAGTACAAAAATGTAGACTACACCACTGCTTTTCTCATTTCATACTATGAGACCAGCTTAGACTCTCTTAAACTGAAATGGTAAACAGACTTGGAGGAATCCATAGCAGACTCAATCTGGTGAAAGATCATTAAGAACATTTACTCATCTTCAATCTGTCTGAGACATGCTGTAATTCAATTCAAGGTGGTGCACCGGCTGCACAGGTCCAAAAACAAGTTGGCCAAGATCAAAGCCGACCTGGACCCTGCATGTAATTGTAAACAAACTCAAGCTACACTCTTGCATACATTCTGGACCTGTCCCAAACTGCAGACCTTTTGGCAATCTATTTTTGACACCTTCTCTGGGATATATGTGGTTAGAGCTCTCCCGGAGATGTGAGTTAAAGATCTTTCTGACGCTTTCTTCAGCCATGCATTCCCAGCAAACCCTCACTACACGTTTGGGTCTATCAGGTCTGTCTGGCATCTTGCCCTGCCATCTAATCCAACTCACTACCAGGTGGTGATCGTTTGACAGCTCAGCTCATCTCTTCACCCGAGTGTCCAAAACAAATGGCCGCAAATCAGATGACACAACTACAAAGTCAATCTTTGATCTATGATTTAGGGCATCCTGGTGCCAAATGTACAAGCAACAACAAAAAAAAGAAAACAGAACAGAAATCCATCCCACCCCTCCCCTCCCACACTGTATCAGTCACACACACACATAAATAAATTCAACAGGTGTTGACATGTTTACCATCTACACCACAAAAGGCTGCCAAGTGTCCCAAAATCTTTTAACTGAACCCTTCAGGGTATATCTAATTTTTTCTAGGTTAATATGACACAACACTTCTCTTATCCAATTTACATATGCTGCGGGGTGTGGGTCCTTCCAATTGTACAAGATGAGCCTCCTGGCCAGAAGAGAGCCAAAAGCAATCACATCCTTCTCGTACTTGCTTAGGGACATATCCACAGGAACCTTCCCGAACAGAGAGATGAATGGTAATGGTTGTACAGTTTCCACATCCCAGCTGAGGCGAGTGACATTGAGTCTGAGTGGGCCATGTTCTGTGACTCAATTGTTGAAGTGGCTGCCTTGAGCTGAGCCACAAGGTTGTTGGTGCTTTTTGCAGTGGCCATTCTCAAATTTGATGGTGAACACACCAGGATAGGGAGTCTGTCAAGCTGAAGAAAGAGTCCTATTGGTCCTTGTTGGCTGATGGGACTCCAGAGGCAACTGAGGAGTACCGGAGGGCCAAGCGGTCTGCAGTCTTGGCTGTTGCTGAGGCAAAAGCTCAGATATGGGAGGAGTTCGGTAAGACATTGGATAAAGACTCTCGGTCAGCACCGAATAAATTCTGGCAAACCATCAGGCAGCTGAGATGGGGAAATCAGCTCTTTACTAACAATGTGTTCAGTGAAGGTGGGGTGCTGTTGACCTCAACCAGTGATGTCATTGGGAGGTGGAAAGAATACTTCTCTGTTCTTCCCAATCCCACCAGCAAGTCTTTGTGGGAGGAAGCAGAGCTGTAAGGCAAAACTCTCTGTTTACCGGTCGGTCTACGTTCCTACCGTCACCTATGGTCATGAGCTCTGGGTAGTGACCGAAAGAATGAGATTGTACATATAGGTGGTTGAAAAGACTTTCAGCCGCAGGGTAGTTGGACTATCACTTAGAGATAGGATGAGAAGTTCTGTTATTCGGGACAGCTCTGAGTAGAATCACTGCTCCACATCGAAAGGAGCCAGCTGAGGTGGTTCGGGCATCTGGTAAGGATGCTCCCTGGGCGCCTCCTGAGGGAGGTGCTTTGGGCATGTCCAACTGGGAAGAGACTACAGGGAAGACCCAAGACACGCTGGAGAGACTATGTTTCTCAGTTGGCCTGGGAACTCCTTGGAATCCTCATGGAAGAGATGGAAGAGGTGGCTGTGGAAAAAGATGTCTGGGCCTCCCTGCTCAAGCTGCTGCTTCCGCGACCCAATTTTGGAACAAGCGGAAGGTAATGAATGAATGGATGTAATGAAACCAAAACGCAAATTTTATTAATGAAAAGTAATCAATGTAAACTTAAATCAGATATTTAACCTTAAGTTTTTTAGAGCAACTACAATGTCTTTGGAGATTTTTGAATTGCAGTTGCAAATTAATGCATCACAAATCATCCATCCATCCATCCATTTTCTTCCACTTATCCGGGGTTGGGTCGCGGGGTTAGCAGCCTAAGTAGGGAGGCCCAGACTTCCCTCTACCCAGCTACTTGGGCCAGCTCCTCTGGGGGAATCCCAAGGCGTTCCCAGGCCAGTCGAGAAACATAGTCCCTCCAGCGTGTCCTGGGTCTTCCTCTGGGTATCCTACCGGTGGGACGTGCCCGGAACACCTCACCAGGGAGGCATCCAGGAGGCATCCTAACCAGATGTCCAAGCCACCTCAACTGGCTCCTCTCGATATGGAGAAGTAGCGGCTCTACTCTGAGTCCCTCCCGGATGACCAAGCATCTCACCCTATCTCTAAGGGAGAGCCCAGACACCCTGTGGAGAAAACTCATTTCGGCCGCCTGTATCCATGATCTCATTCTTTCGGTCACAACTCAAAGCTCATGACCATAGATGAGGGTAGGAACGTAGATCAACCAGTAAATTGAGAGCTTCACCTTATGACTCAGCTCTCTCTTCACCACAACAGACTGGTGCAGCGCCCACTTCACTGCCGATGCTGCACCTATCCGCCTATAGATTTCACGCTCCATTTTTCCCTCATTTGTGAACAAGACCCCGAGATACTTGAACTCCTCGACGTGGGACAGGACCTCCTCCCCGACCCGGAGAGGGCACTCTACCCTTTCCCGGCTCAATACCATGGCCTCGGATTTGGAGAAACTGATCCTCATCCCAGCCGCATCACACTCAGCTGTGAATTGCTCCAGCGAAAGCTGTAGATCACGACTTGATGAAGCCAATAGGACCACATCATCTGCAAAAAACAGAGAAACAATCCTAAGGCCACCAAAACGGATCCCCTCAACACCTTAGCTGCACCTAGAAATTCTGTCTATAAAAGTTATGAACAGAATTGGTGACAAAGGACAACCTTGGCGGAGTCCAAATCTCATTGGGAACGAGCCCGACTTACTGCCGGCAATGCGGACCAAGCTCTGACACCGGTCGTACAGGGACCTAACAGCCCGTATCAAAGGGCCTGGTACCCCATACTCCCAGAGTATCCCCCACAGGGCTCCCCGAGGGACACGGTCAAATGCCTTCTCCAAGTCCACAAAGCACATGTAGACTGGTTGGGCAAACTCCCACGCACCCTCCAGGACCCTGCTGAGGGTGTAGAGCTGGTCCAGTGTTCCACAACCAGGATGAAAAATGCACTGCTCTTCCTGAATCTGAGGTTCGACTATCTGACGGACCCTCCTCTCCAGAACTCCTGAATAGACCTTACCAGGGAGGCTTAAAAGTGTGATCCCCCTGTAGTTGGAACACACTCTATGGTCCCACTTTTTGAATAGGGGGACCACGACCCCAGTCTGCCAATCCAGGGGAACTGCTCCCGATGTCCACACAATATTGCAGAGTCATGTAAGCCAACACAACCCCACAACATCCAGAGCCTTAAGGAACTCCGGGCGAATCTCATCCACCCCTGGGGCCCTGCCACCGAGGAGCTTTTTAACCTCCTCGGTGACCTCAGCACCAGAGATTGGAGAGCTGACCCAAAGTCCCCAGGCTCCGCTTCCTCAATGGAAGACGTGCCGGTGGGATTGAGGAGGTCTTCGAAGTACTCTGCCCACCGACCCACGACATCCCGAGTTGAGGTCAGCAGCACACCACCTCCAATATAAATAGTGTTGGTAACATACCACTTTCCCCCTCTGAGACGCTGGATAGTGGACCAGAATCGCCTTGAAGCCATACAGAAGTCATTCTCTGTGGCCTCTCCGAACTCCTCCCATGCTCAGGTTTTTGCCTCAGTGACAACCCAAGCCGCATGCCACTTGGACTGCCGGTACCCATCAGCTGCTTCCAGGGTCCCACAGGCCAAAAAGGCCAGATAGGACTCCTTCTTTAGCCTGACAGCATCCCTCACCACCGGTGTCCACCACCGGGTTCAAGGGTTACCACCGCGACAGGCACCGACAACCTTGCAGCCACAGCTCCAATAAGCCGCCTTGACAATAGAGGTGTGGAACATAGCCCACTCGGATTCATTGTCCCCCACTTCCCCCGGAACGTGTTCGTAGCTCTCCCGGAGATGGGAGTTAAAGCTCCGTCTCACGGGAGACTCTGCCAGACGTTGCCAGCAGACCCTCACAATATGTTTGGGTCTGCCAGGTCTGACCGGCATCCTCCCCCACTATCGGAGCCGACTCACCACCAGGTAGTGGTCAGTGGACAGCTCCACCCCTCTCTTCACCTGAGTGTCCAAGACATGCGGCCGCAGATCATATAAGACAACAACAGAGTTGATCATCGAACTGCAGCCTAAGGTGTCCTGGTGGTGTCTGCATCACAAATAATGTGGTCAAAAAAAATCTAAGGCCTTCCCAAAGTCCTGAGTCTTGTGTTTTGGTCCTGCTCAGTATAGAACATTCTGACTGCTTACTTTTCAGTTGCTCCTCACAGTTCCAGGAACTCGTCTTAAGCGCAGAGGTGACAGGGCCTTCTCTGTAGCAGGCCCAAGATTTTGGAACGAGTTACCTCTGCTTGTCAGACAAGCCCCCTCCCTCAGTTTTCAAATCCCGTGTAAAAACCCAGCTTTCAACACCAGATGATCTGTGTTTTGAACCTGTATACTTCACACAGGTTAGTCGTCTTATTTATTATCTGCAACGTTTTTATGTCTATATTCTGATTTAACTTCATTTTGTATGTTGCTTTGTGTGTTGCCTGTTTTTCTGTTTGTACAGCACTTTGGTTGGCCTTGTTGCTGTTTTAAGTGCTCTATAAATAAAATGGTATGGTGTGGTATGGTACTTTTCCTGTCTGTTATCAAACAAACTCATCCTGCAGAAACTCTGAATTCAGCCTTCTCTCCTGACAGTGAAGTCTTAACAAGCACGAGCTCCTTATGTTTTTGCCTAGAGACAAAATAAATAACTAAATACTGTAAATCCAATTGAATGTATTTTCATGAATTCAAAAATATTCTGCTCAACTGCAAAGTAGTTTACAGAAAATAGGAGAAATTACAAAAGAATAATAAAAATTAGATTGAAAATATGTTTTTATATAAAAGAAATACTAAATTAAAGTTCTAAATGTAACCATTTGTGCTATATTCTTAGGCATTCTCTGAAGAAATTGAAGGCCTTGAGAGTTCCCCGCTGCCATTTATAAATGATTACTTTGCCTTACATAATAAAATCAGGGCTGTGTTTACAACATAAATTCAGCTTTTGCAATGAATTAGGTTAGTTATTCCAAAACATTCTAACTTTACCTTGTTGGTACTGCACCACATATTCCAGGAGTTTGCCATTGATTTCCAGTGGAGGAGTCCAGTAGAGAATGACTGATGTATCTGTAGGGCTTTCAAACCTTAGAGAAGCAGGTGGACCAGGAACTACACACACATATAGAATGTGGTTAAAATATTTCATGATAGCTGAAACTGGAGCCTTGAGGCAGATAAATTGATAAAATAAATAGATATGGGCACCAGTGACCCCCGTGACCCCAAAACGAAGAAGTGTGTAAAGAGGATCGATCTAGCATCAGGGACAATGGATTGAGCATGCATCAGGATGATGGATGGACTTTTGTACTGTAAAATAAGTAACGTCTGATTTGAACTGACCTCCCTCGGGGGTGTTGAACTCTACAGGTTTAGAGGGAGGACTCTCTCCTTTTTTGTTGAATGCTGTGATCCACAGTTCATACTGAGAGAACAGACGCAGTTCAGTCAGCTCAGCAGAAGTATTTGAACCAAGAACTTCAACCACCCAGCTGTCATCCTCTTTTAGCCTTTGGTGTCCCATTCTCCCTCTTTCATCTATGTGGTGATGTTTGCTGAGAGACCTCCTGCCTCTTCTGTTCAGAGGACCCAATCTCCTGATGTAAATCTGACAAACACAGAGAATGAAGGTGATGTTTTCTGCAGTTATTTAGTCAGTAGACTTGTTGTAATAATAATAACTAGTACCTTGTATCCCTTCAGTTGACCTCTAACACTCTGGGCTTCATTCCATGAAACTTTGACTGTGCTGTTTGTTACAACACATGCAACTCCAGTGGGTGCCTCCTCTGGCTCTGAGAGAGGGGGAACAAAAAGATGACTCAGAAAGTATTGTTGGCTGAGACATCAGCCTTCCAAGCAGTAGACTGATGTCTCCTGTTGCTGAGGAATTTGAATTGTGAATATTTGTAGTTTTGGAGATGAGTGTTTTCCTGGACTGGAATTGAACAAGGAATGTAAATAAATCTTAATGTTTTTGGTACAAGATATTCAAGTGTTTAGGAGTTACACTATGTAGAAGAAAATAAGTAGTTTTATTTATTTTATTAAAAAAAATGTTTTTTTTTTGCTTGTTCGAGGCAACACACTAGCATTCAGCTATTGTTCTGCTTCATTTAGCTTTCAGCTATTGTACCACTCCTTTAACACTCAGATTCAGTTTTGTTGACAACGTTCAGCAAAATCCTTTTGCACTCAACATTCCCACTGCATTTTCACATAAAATGTAATTTGTTTAGTTTTATTTGGAGATTTGGAGACTTCGGTTCATGACCACCTGACACTGAAACTGGCATGAAAGAACCAAAAAAGATCAGGAAACATACTGTCCTCTCCGGAGTGTCCGATCTTGGACTCTGGTGACGGTCCTGTCCCAACTGTGTTCACAGCCTGGACTTTAATTTCAAATGGCATGTAGGTTCCTGTGTTGTTTATTTGAAAAGGTGGAGATTTTATGTAGGCTGAGTTCCAGATTTGTTTTTTCTCTTGAGCCTCCCGCCAGTACACTTTGTACTGAAAGTCCTGACCATTATGCAAGCGGTGTTCCATTTTCTGAAATGGTGTGTAAAATAGATATATTTGTATTAAACTTCGTTGGGAAAAATTAATACATACACAGATGTACACAACCTAATAACTTACATCCCAGGTGATAATCAGAGTCCCTGGGTCTGATGAGTTACTGCGAACTCCAGTGGGGTTTTCACCGGGAACTGTGAAAGGAAAAAAGAGTAAACACAAACTAACTAGAAATGCAGGCAATTACCTTTGGGCTCCAAGGGCCTTAAAAAACATCCACCCTGGGTACTGTCTGCTATAGCAGTGGTTCCAGCTGTATTTTCAGAGTCAGAGATATTTATTTGTCATACACACCACACGTGGTACATGAGGTGGAACAAAACTGTGTACACAGGGTCCCAGTTACATCCAACAAAAACAGAAATTGTAGAGAAAAACATTAGTAAGATCCAAGTCATGAACCAAGAATATACTACATTCACTAAACTAAGAAGACAAAGAACTGGGATAACTCCTACTTGTACCTATTCCCCTTCAGGACTGTGTCTCTCTCCACCCTTATGTGCTGTGTTATGGTGGATGGTGCCAATTACCAGCTGGTGGTGTACTGTGGTCCTCTGTAGGTTCACTGGGGTCACTTCTTCCAATGTCATTAACAGCAATGACTCGGAACCGGTAGATACAGAAGGGCTGGAGCATGAGCTGTACGTGGTTGAAGTCCCCTGGTACAACTTTTGTCTTTTTCCACTTTTGTTTCCCTTTCGCTGTCTGTGGCTCTTCGTGAACTTCCACAATGAACTCTTGAAAGAGACATAATTGTTTTCAATAAATGTTCATGCAATATCTAGGTTCATTTGTCTGCAGCATTAGCAAAATATCTTACAAACCAGAAAAAAGTTCTGAAAGCAATCTGAATCTTTGAGTGATTAACCCTTGGAGTCAATCCCCAACAAGTTGAATGCTACAGGTTGTCTACCAATTTAAGCAAAAACAAAAAGGTTTTGATTCAGACAATTTTATAGCTACTGAGCTCCATTTCAACATGTTAGAAGTTGAGCGTCATCCCTAATACAGACACTGAGAGCCATCTCATTGTGCAGGAACTGTTTTTTGCCAAAACATTACCGATATCTACTAGAGTTAATTCAGCTTTTTAGCAAAATATCTTATGGGATGGTTGATAGATTTTGATGAACATTTCAGTATGTAGTGTTACCGCAACATGAAAATTACAGAGTTTGAAGCAGATCAACTTAGGATCAAAGTTTCACATTATCACTTATCACATCAACTCTGAGGATGTAAATATATAAAGTTCACATGAGAAGATCTAAAAAATGGCAGGTTGGCTATCTCAGACTGTGAGGTCTCAATAGAGGACATTTGCAAATGGATGTGTACTGCAAACCCACCCACACAGACCAATACTTGCAGTTTGTTTCCCATTACCCACTGGAGCATAAGTTAGGAGGCATTAGGACTCTGTACCACAGACAGCGTCCCCACTAACTCAGGAGCCAGACAGAAGGAGAAACCCCACACAAAACGGGCTCTGGAGCAATGTGGATATCCTACATGGGCCGTCCCAAAAGTTAGGGCACCAATGAGCAGTTGTTAGGCTCATTGTCCTCCTTCTACATGTGAACAGCTAGTTCTGGATGTCACCAGCAAACTGGTTGAGCCACTATGAGAAGGTGCTATTTATAAGACAGTTTTTTGCAGCTCCTCTGACTGAAGAAGACTTTTAGCTAAAACAAAACATATCAACAATGAAGAATCCATCCAGAGGACCTGACAACTTTGTTAGATTTAGCTATCTGGATTATTGAGCATGCATCAGGACAATGTAACAAAGAGATAGACAATTTTAGGTTACTGGAATTTTAAGCTGTATCATAGACACATTTTAACAAAAAAGCCACCTGCTGAAAGAAAGTAAAGGTTTTAAAAAATGGGTCACCTGTGACCTTAAACTTTAACCCTGTGACCTTGAAATAAATAAGGATAATGTTTGCCCATGAGCTGTTCAGCTATGAAGGTTGACATTCCAATATTTAACAATTGTAGTTGGAGCACATGATCAACTATGTATTTGACCTTTGACCCATTGACATTAAAATAAATAGGGATCATTGCTGACCCAAGAGGAATTCAGATGTGCAGTTTGACACTTCTTCTCCGTTTTAAAATGAGAAAGCTCCCAAGATGGGAAGCAAAATATTACAAAATAAAAGTTCTTTTTTTGTTTTTTGTTTGTTTGTTTTGTTATATTTGCTTTGTTCTAAATTACTTTGAATCTGCACCAGCATACAAGCTATGGTTTATCCACTAGTGTGCATGTTCCATACCTGTAATGGGACTGTTGTGTGAAGGTCCTGGGGTCCAGCTGAGAGTGACACTGTAATCCTCAATATCAAACAGAGACACAGAGCTGGGAGGGTCTGGTGAACCTAGGGGCCCAACAGAAACAGTCATCCACAGCCAACACACAGTCAGATCTTTTAGTTAGTACACGCAATGCCATACCTACTACAGTGATGGATCCAGTTGCACTTACACTGCCCAGTGATTTAATGTAAACCTCACAAGAATAAGTTGCAGTGTCTTCTGGCTGGACATTCACCACTCCCAATGTGTTATTCTCAAACATAGTGTACCTAAAACCACAAGCAATACAAATCAATTTCAGAAATATTGTGTCCTATAGAGACCTGTTCTAGTCAATCACTTGACCGAAAGTTGTTTTGTATAATTTGTGTAATTCTTTTATATAGACAAATAACTTGAAGGCATGAATTATCTAGCTATTTAACAGTCAATAATGGTGTGCCACAAGGTTCAGTTTTAGGGACAGTCTTTTTACAATTTATACAAGTAATGTAGGTCAAAACATTCCTGATGCCTCTTTGCATCTCTATGCTGATGATACAATTGTTTGTTGTCGAGCTAACACAGTTGCCAAGGTTTTCCAACTTCTACAGTCTGCATTTAACATCATTTGGTCAGACTTGTTCCATCTCAAATTTGTGCTAAATGATTATAAATGCCAAGGGGATGTTGTTTCCAAACAGAAAGTTGGTGCCAGCAGATCTTCATCCTGTCTCATCCATGCCTGGTGTTCCTATAGAGTCTGTGGATTCTTACAAATACTTGGGAATTTTAATTGATACACATCTTTTTTTAAGGCACAAATTGAAAACTTGATGAAGAAATTGAAACAGAAATTATTTTCCTTTTTCAGAAATAGATCTTGTTTAACCCTGAATGTCAGGAAATGCCTTGTAGCTGTCACTTTCCTACCAGCTATCAATTATGGTGATGGTATTTACTAGAATGCCACTGCCATCTCCTTGCAGATGTTGGTTGCCATCTACCATAGCATTCTAAGGTTCATAACTCGTAACTACCTTACCCATCACTGCACTCTGTACTCATTGGTCAGTTGGTCATCAATATCTACACTTGGGTTCTCACACTGGTACATCTTCTTCTACAAATCACTCCTTGGTCAGCTATCTTCTTTTATCTCCTCTCACATGTCACAACATTAGTGCAGTTACAGTGTGCACTCTCAGGCCATCATTACCTATAGCTTTGCCTTAGTATGGACTGAACTTGGCAAAAAGGCCTTTTCTTACTCTGCTCCTGTAACATGGAACACCTTGCAAGATCATTAGCTGTCCACTTTGATTTCTGTTGGAGAAAAATATTGTTTCTTAACTTAAATAAAAGAACCACACTCCATGCCAGGAGTGGACTTTTAACTATCATTTTACTTGCAAGGACTCACTCAAGACAGATTACCTACACAAATACACAGATACACAATGCATGGAACATGTCACAGAATGGTCATCGAATAGTTTGCTGCAGACTTTTATACAGCAGCAGAGTCCAGCAGGCGTCCCTCATAGCCAGCTGCAGTCAGACGGATAGACAAGATCTATGGCCATTGGCAAGTCGGCCTCCAGATAGAGATAAGAGAATGCTTTGGGCATGTTCTCATAGCGTCAACACCAGTGAAGCACTGCAAGTCAGTGAGCTGGCCTTCAGGCCGAGACAAGAGAATGTTTTGTGCACACATTACAGAAAGATGTTCTCAGCCATCTCAGCCATAATATAATGATAATTAAAAAAAAAAAAATTCTCCAACAATTTCTTTAAGGGATTTTAAACATTTGATAAGGTCATTAAGAAAATCTAAGCAAATATGTTCTAGGTTTTAGTATTTTACCTTATTTTATATGGCACTTTGATTTTTATTGTTTTTATAACAATGTTTTTATTTTAATTGCTTTTCATTGTTGTATATTGTTGTCTGTATATGTTCTCTGTCTAAAACAGGTCTCTCTTGAAAATGAGTCCTCGTGACTCAAGGAGACTTCCATTGTATAAAGGTTAAATAAAAAATAATTTGTCTAATGGTAATGATTTCCTGCAACAATAAATTTTACCCCTAAACAAATCTCTAGACATGCTTCTGCTCTAAAAGTCTTCTTCTACTCTAATAATGCTGTAACTGTGTCCCTGAGTGACCGCCATATTGTGAGTGTAACTTTACTTGTCGTCCCGTGATGACTCAAGTAGCGTGTGTCCATTCTTTCTCCATTCAACCTTGTAATCATGCAGTCGAGGATCCCTGTAGAAGAGACAATGCAGGAAAGCAGTACTTCCTCTGAGGACGCGTTCATCCTGGGGGCCCAAAAATATCACTGTTCGATCTGAGAAAAAGAAAAAAATACAGGACAGCAATATTTTATATAGTTCTGCTGTTTGTCACCAAATTATGTGCAAGACTTACTGAAGACTTCCAAGTTTGCAGTGATGAAGATGTCCGTGTTTTTGACAGAGCAAGTGTACACTCCGCGATCTTCGTGCGTAGCATTCACCAGCTCCATTGTCCCATTAGTTAAAAAAGAAACTCGAGGATCTAATATCAAAGAAATCATATCCTCACTCACCCTGCAGACACATACAGTAAACATATCAATTACAAATGATAATCAGAGGTGCAGCTGCAACTTCAAAAGTAAAGTTAAACTCAAAAGTTTTATTCCAGCATTAGGTATATCAGTGGTAACTGCAGAACAGTCCATATAGGATGTTTTCACTCATTTAGTGAGAACAGAAAAATCTATTTTAAGACCATGGTTAGAATGTGAAACCTTCTTTTTTATTTGTAAAAGAACAATGTGAAACCTTTATAATTCCAATCTTGTTTATTTACAGTATCTAACTGAGAGCACCTAGCCCACTTGATCTAAAGTGGATATAAAAAGTCTACACCCCCATGATAAAAATGCAAGGTTTTTAATGTAAAATTTAAACCATGATGAATCATATTAAATAATTTCCCCTCTTTATGTGACATGTCTTGCACAATTTAACTGGGAAAAATCTGCAGTGGAGAAATATAAAAAATTAAAAGGCATTTAGTTCCTTGTTTAACTGTACTTACTCCTAAAATAATACTTTATTAAAGCAAATTCTGACTTTATTCCAGATCAACCGAACCATCCAGTCCCTATACAAGCGGTGCAAGAGTTTGGTTTGCATTGCTGGCAGTAAGCCGGACCCCTTCAGAGTGAGAGTTGGACTCCCCCAGGGCTGCCCATTGTCACCAATTCTGTTCATACCGTTTATGAACAGAATTTCCCGGTGAGTCTGGTTCAGTGGCCTCAGGATTTGGTCTCTGCTCATTGTGGATGGTGTGGTTCTGTTGGCCTCATCATACTGTTATCTTCAGCTCTCACTGGAGTAATTTGCAGCCTAGTGTGAAGCAGCTGAAATGAGGATAAGCACCTCCAAATCTGAGGCCATGGTTCTCAGTAAGAATAGGGTGGATTGCTCTCTCTAGGACAATCTCCAGATTGTTATTGAGCTGCTGCCTCTAGCATAGAGGGAGATATAGATAGCTGGATCTGTGCAGCTTCTACAGTATTGAGGACCCTGCCAAGCATCAGCTACTGGTCAACAAAACCATAGCTCAAAACTGTAAGACCAGACAGACAAGCCTGTGCACAGCCTGGATTGACTACAGGAAAGCTTATGACTCCATGCCACACACATGAATACTGATGTGCTTGAAACAGTATATTAAAAATGACACTTAAGAGCCTTTATGAAGAACTCAATGGAAATGTGGAAGACAACTCTTGAGGCAAATTCAAAGCCAATTGCACAAGTCAGCATCAAATGTGACATACACCCGGCCACATGTAATGTGGCGAGGTGTCCCCACTCCTGTTCTGCATAGGCCTCAGCCATCTCAATCAGATCATTGCAAAAAGTGGCTATGGATACCAGTACCAAAGTGGAACAATCATCAGTTACCTCCTCTACATGGATGACATTAAGCTGAATGCCAGAAATGAGTTAGACATTGACTCAGTGATCCACCTCACCAGGATATACAGCAAGGATATTGGAATGCCATTCAGACTAAATAAATGCAGTGGAATGGTTTTCAAGGGAGGCAAGGTGATCACAACTGAAGGGGTTGAACTACCTGAAGGCAACATTGCTGGTGTCTAGGACAGCTATAAATACCTTGGAATCCCACAAGCAAATGGCAATCATGATGAAAAAGTCAGCCAAAACCAAGTACCTACAGAATAAGGCAGGTTCTAAAGAGCGAGCTGAATTGCAAGAACAAAGGCCAAATCATCATGCATACCATGCAGTGACTGTCATCAGATACCCAGCTGGTATAATAGCCTGGCCAAAGGAAGAGATACAAGCCACTGACATCAAGACTCTAATGCTCCTCACAATGTGTCATGGATTTTAGTCCAAGTCCAGCAACCTGAAACTATACACTAAGAGAAAGGAGGGAAGCAGAGGACTACTGAGCATCTGAGCCACTACACAGGATGAAACAACTACGATTCTGGAATATATCAGGAGGAAAGCTCCAATGAAATCCAAACTAAAACATATTTAATTTTAGAAGTCAAGGTATTAAGCTTTGTTCAAGTTGACACCATGGATACATTATTTATATTTTTAAAGGAGGAAATTATCCTTCTCACCATGTAATATTTGGTCGGGGTGAGCCAAAAGACTCACAGTGCATCTGGATGTCTCCGCCTTCAAAGACCTTGTACACAACCCCGTCAGAGGACAAAATTTCTGGAGCAAGTTCTGAGACAAAAGATTCAAAAAGTAACTAACTAAATTAAACATTTTATTAGAATAACTAATGACCAATAAACATGTGTACATACCAACAACAAACAATTGGACATTGAGCAGAATGGAGCCATGCTTGTTGGTGGCTTCACACTGATACACAGCTGTGTCAGCAAGTTCTACATCCCTTAGTATCAATGCACTGCTTGTTATGGTGCGTCGAGGGTCATCATCCACATCTACACACATTTTTAGAAAACATTAAAATCAATTGAAGCAAATGAATGAGTGAGTAAAACAATTGGAAAAGACAACAATAGATAGAAGCAGCTGTTCCAGGAGCTGAGCCTCCATCCACTGCTGATGCCTGTCTTATGTGTTTCATCTGGGGCTTCTGCTAGAACCTAACACACGCGATAAACGAGGGACTACTGTATATATTTGTGACACAACTTTTCCAACATTTACAGTGATTTTTTTTACATTGAGTTTTTCTAGAGTTTACATTAATCATTCTATGTTGTATCACCTTTCATCATCTTTATTTAACCAGATAAAAACCCACTGAGAACCAAGATTTTTTTTCCAAGGGTGGCCTGGCCAAGAGGTCAGCAGCATCCATCACAAAACAGCAATTAACAATAAAGGTTAAAACAATGTTATACCCACATGAAGTTTTGAACAGGCACATGAACAGGCATAGCATAAGCACAAGCAACAGTTAAAACACAAGCAATGATTAAATTACAGACAGTGGGTAAGACAGGCAATGGTTCTAAACATAGGCATCGTTCAGAGGTCTTTCTAACTATCTTTCAGGACCGAACTAAATGCCCTAAAATACATGAGGCCCGGCAGTTATAGTTTGGGTGTTCCACGGTGAGGGGGCAGCAAAGCTGAATGTTTTATTCCCTTTTTCAGTTCTGACTGATGAACTTCAGGACACTGTAAACAGTGTCTTAGGACTGGAGACAAACCTCAAAATACCTTGGTAAACAGTAACTGGAAAAATTTGGATGGGTACTCATGTACTGTATGTACTTTATGAACTGTAAGTACATATGGTAGTAGGGTTTGAATGACTACATATTTTTTAAAGTCGACTTCCACGTGATAAAAGTTGAGTCGCCGTCGACTAGTCAATGTGACATTATAGAAACTCAAGACGCTATATCACATTCACAAAAAAACTTAATTTATTATTAACAAAAAAAGAACAAAAAAAACATTGGGAGTGTATATTTATGCTCCTACCATTTATCATTCTGCAAATAAGTCACAGGAAAACCAAAACTACTATGAAGCTGCAAAAGTTAGTTTTATTTTATCCACTAAATAAAATAAACCACTGTGGCGGTGGTGCGCAGCGGTGGATTCTCCACTGGCGGTGCTACATGGTGCACACCGGCAGTGGTGCATGGTGGTGGATTCTCCACCGGTGGTGGTGTGCAGTAGTAGATTCTCCACAGGCTGTGGTGCGTGGTAGTGGATTCTCCACTGGTGGTGGTGCACACCAGCGGTGGTGGTTTCTCCACTGGTGGTGGTGCGTGGTGGTGGATTCTCCACCGACAGTGGTGCGTGGTGCTAGTCGACGTGAAATTTTAAAATTCGCAAGATGTCCTAGAATCAACTAGTTGAGTGGTCGACTAGTCGAACCAATAACCCCGTAGCAGATACTGAGGTCTTCCCAACTATGGTGAAGACAGTTAATAAAAACACTGTAAAACACTAAAACAATTGCTGTGAAAAGTTTCCAAGTCAGAGCAATAATGTAATTATATACTGCTTTTCTATCTTATAAATATACTCAAAGTGCTTTACAACACAATCTGTGCCCTTATTTACGCATTCACAGCACTCTAGATCTCTACAAAGCTAATTGAACAAATTATTCTAAAAAGACTAATCAGTGCTTTATCACATTCATACACCAATTGGACACACATTGGAGGCAACGAGGGTTTCAGTGTCTTGCCAGGGACACTTGGTATGTGATGGCTGATTGAGATGAACCCCCAACTCTTGCACTGGAGGAAGACTGCTCACCACTCAGCCACAGACGCCCTAATGCCCAGCAGGATGTAGGCAGACAAAATGTATATGGAACTACACTTATTATTTTTCCCAAACAATTTAAGAAAACAAAACATTATCTGTCATGAGGGGCTGGAGCTGGTAAACCCAGTGGTGCAGGCAGTCGAGGACTCAGGAGAATTATTAAATAAAGAATTTATTTACAAAAACAAAAGGCTGAACAGGGCAGCAAAACTTACATGAGTCATCAGGGAATTCACAGAGAGCAGAACAAGGCATCACTAGTGGACAGATAACAATGCCAGGACAAGGGGTAAGACAAACACACAGGGTTAAATACAGATACAAATGAGGACTAACAGACAACATCTGTGAGCTTCACAGGTGTGGGGAAATAGAAAAAATTAAACACAAGGGAGCAGGACAGAGACACAACACAAGATGGAGCCCCACACTAGGAAAACACAAAAGACAGATTACGTGGATCAAGAGGATGCAAGACATAAACACAACACAAGATGGGCCAGACACAAGGAAACACAAACCACATACCCTACACTATCTAATGCAGAAGACTTTGGATACTTTCATACCTGCTAGCGTTTGTCCATTGATGTTCCATGTGATGATGGGCTCTGGACTTCCCTTAGCCAGGCAGTCTAGTCGTACAGTTTCCCCTGGCGTGTACATTAGGTCTTGGGGCTCCTTAAACCAGTAGGGAGCCGCTAGAAAAAACAAATCCAACAATCAAGGAGATCAAAGCAAATTGAAGAAAAAAAAAGTCCAAAAATGAGCTAAAATATTTGTAAGTGATGACAAATATGTAGGAAACAAAATATGTCATAGTTCCAATGTGTTTCCAGGCCAGCTGAGAGACATAATCCATCTGGCATGTCTTGGATCTTTCCAGTCTCGTTCCAGTTAGACATGTCCAGAACACTCATTAAGGAGGTCCAGGGGGCATCCTTACCAGGTGCTCCAACTACCTCAACAGGCTCCTCTTGACATGGAGGAGCATCAACTGTACTCCAAGTCTCTCCTGGAAAACTAAACCTTTCACCCAATCTCTAAGAGAGATTCCAGCCACCTTTGTTGAAAACTCATTTTGACTGCCTTTATCTGCAATCTCGTTCTTTCATTTACTACCCAAAGTTGGTGATGATAGGTGAGAGTAGAAATGTAGACTGACCAGTAAACAATGCTTTTCATCACAATGGACTGCAGCAGAGCACATAATATTGCAAAAACTTCACCAATCCATTTGTGGATCTCATTCCCCTAATTCTCTCAACAATGCCTCAAACTAAATGAACTCCTCTGCTTGAGGCAGCAACTCCTTCTCAACTGAAAGAGGGAAGTTCACTCTTATGACTGAGGACCACAATCTTAAATTCTGATAGTGCTGATCCTCATCCCAGATGCTCACAATCACCTACAAACCACTCCAGAGAGAGCCAGAGATCATGTCACAATAATCAGTGACATTTAGCCCTGGCTGTGCCTGAGTACTACCCTGAAAGGATCTGACTCACTAGCAGGACCAAAATAACATCCTAATTCAAAATAATTTGTCTTACATTTGATCCATTTCATTGATGAGGACTTAATAAGACAAAACTAAAATGGAACTGTATTGACTGTGTAGCTAACCTAGCCACATTTCATGTGACTGACATCTACAGTTAAGAGTCATGGAGGGGACTACAGTACATCTTACAACAGAGATGCCCATTATGTTGATCTCGGACTGATCTAGTTGATCGCAAGACCTGGAGAAAACAAATTTGTTGTTTGCTATTTCCCATTATTTTTATGTCTGCATTCTCTCAACCAGCTACATTTAAACTGTCCTTAAAATCAACAAAAAAGAAAGGAAAATATACTGTAGTTTTTCAATCAGCCATCTGATGAACTGGGATGTGGGTCTCCTGTCATTAGCTGCAACAGAAAGCACCTGGGCAGAGGCCTTCTGTCCACATTATCAGTCCACATTATCAGTCAGACTGACTATTATTATTATATTTATCTTAATTTTATATGCTTATATGTGCAATCTCCCTGGCTAACGTGGTTGTGTTCTTTTGTTTTTTTGTGTTGTTTTTGTAATAAATAAAGTTTGAAAATAATATGTCAGACAAAACCGTCTTATACAGGTTGCTGTTGAATCGTCAATGATGAAGGTCCTGCCTCATAAATATTTTCACATAAATTTTGTTTAAATACTAGGAATTAACATCAACCACACTGGTAAACCACTACTGAAAGCCTCTGATAATTAAAACACTTGCCATAGAAATCATTTTATAGTGTCATACAGAATTACAACCAGTGACATTTTTACACACATTAAGTGCTAACAGAAACACAAACTACCTAAACAGGGAATTTGTATAAAACTTAAATACAAAATAGGTAAAACATTGCACTGCATAAATAGGTTTTGAACTACAAAGAAATCTTCTGGAACAGTTCCGAAAGAAGCAATTTTCACACAACAGCATGTGATACCTGGTGTGGTCAGCAACCCACCTTGAACAGAAACAGTGAAGGAGTGTGTCATGTTCCCATGGCTGTTGACAGCTCTACATCTGTACTCTCCATCATCGTCTTCAGTGATGTGATCAAAATAAAGCCAGCGATTATGATTCTTCAGCTCAGCTCTCAAATGACTGAGATGACCATTAATTTTCTGCCATTCTACCTTAGGAGTAGGCCTATAGAAACACAAAGAAAGACATTCAGAGAACGAAGAACATAGAATGGTAAATGGACTATACTTATATAGTGCCTTTCTATCTTAATGAGATACTCAAAGCACTTTACACTACAAACTGTGCCCTCATTTACACATTCATACAGCACTCTACTATAACTAGAGACTAAAAAAAGTCCATGCTCAATAATCCAGGTATACAATCCAACAATTTTCAGTCAGGCCATCTGGACAGTTTCTTTTTTTTCTTTTTCTGAAACGTTTCACCTTCCATCCGGAAGGCTTCATCAGTCAAGGAAATACACAACACAAAACTGACTCTTCCCCCAAACAGCTTACTCCAAAGTGGAACAAACCAGTTATGTTGGCACTAAGATGGTGTCTTTGGCATGCCCCCTCCTCTGGAGTCGGCCCTCTTCCTCATCAACAGTCATGTCAAACTGGTTCAAAACCAAAAAAGTTAACATGACTGTCGACGAGGAAGAGGGCCGGCTCCAGAGGAGGGGGCGTGCCAAAGACACCATCTTAGCGCCAACATAACTGGTTTGTTCCACTTTAGAGTAAGCTGTTTGGGGGAAGAATCAGTTTTGTGTTGTGTGTTTCCTTGACTGATGAAGCCTTCCAGATGGAAGGTGAAACGTTTCAGACAAAAAAAAATAAACTGTCCAGATGACCTGACTGAAAATAGTTGGATAACTATAGACTAATCAGTGTTTTAGATCACATTCATAAACCACTGGGACACACATCGGAGGCAATGAGGGGTTCAGTGTCTTACCCAGGGACTCTTTAGCATGTGACTACTGGTGGAATCAAACCCCCAACTCTCCCATTGGAGGACAACTGCTTCAACCACTCATCCACAGCATAGAATATTATGCTTTGATAATATTTGATATTTTAATGCTACCATTGATAAATATTTTAAAGACTGGACTCTTAAGGGAGAGAGAATATTAACAAACAAAACAAGCAGTACACCAATGTTCTACATCTCTGAGGGATGTTCTAACAATGTTCTAACATTCTGAATAGTGAATTTTTTGTAGTTTTGGAGATGAGTGTTTGTCTGGACTGGAACGGAACTCGTAATGTTGGTGCAAGATATTCAAGTGGGTAGGAGTTACACTATGGAAAAGAACAGAGAGTTTTTTTTCCCCTTGTCAAGACAGCACAGAGTGATGGATCCTGGTGAGTGGAGGGAGCAATTTTATCCATAATCAGATGCAACGGTGGAGCCAGGGAGTGTCACTGGTTTACTTGGCTTACCATCTACCTCTGTTAGCTGTGATTGCGTTCTTTCTGTTTTTGTCACCTCATCTGCGGCATCGTCTCTTTACTGGTATACGATCATCAATTACGTTTAGATATTTGATTATCTGATAACAAGCTCGCCTATTTCAACTACAATGAGCAGAGCCCTGGGCCTCCCCCTCTCCTGGCTGACATACCTGTAGGCTTGCTCCACGCTGCTTCCCTGCCTGCCCAGAGACAACAGCTCAGGCGCTGGGGAAAACAAGCTGGGCAGCTGATGAAGCTTAAAGCTTGCCTTGCACTTTCTGCTACGACCTCTCCAGCATAATCATAATATGCCGTGGTTCCTACATAGATGGCCCTGCTAAATGCTAGGTCCTTGGCTGATAAAACTTTTATCTTAAATGACTTTTTCTCTTCCTGCGAATTGGACTTTCTCTTTGTGATGGAGACTTGGCTGTGTGCTGGTAAGTTCAGTTTCTTTTCTGAACTTTTGCCTTTGTATTGCTCTTTTTTAATGCTCCAAGGACATCTGGTAGAGATGAGGGAATATTGAATGTCTTTAAAAAAAACATTTGATCTACAAAAAGCTCCAATCGCCATCTCTTTATTTCCAACTTTGAAATGCTTCTTTTTAAGCTGGGTCGCTCCCAGCTGATGCTGTGCGCAGTCATCTACAGACCACACAAATACAACAAATATGAACTCAGTGACTTTTTGGCTATATTGTTCAAATATGACCAGGTTTTAATTGTGGGGGATTTTAATATTCATGTGTGGTGCCCTGAAAAGCCTTTGGCTCAGGAGTTTTTAAATCTTTTAACTTTGTGCAGTGTGTTGTGGGTCTCACTCATCAGCAGGATCATACACTTGATATAGTTTTATCATATGGTTTATCTGTTTTTAATTTAGAAATTGGGAATGCTGTTTTTTCTGATCACAAGCTTTTTTTATTTGACCCCTCTCTTGTCTGTGAGTTTAAATCTCCTGCTCCAGCCAGGACTAGTTGGATATATGACTCTTCCACTGCTGCTTTCTTCTCCTCTGATTTTACCACTAGCTCTGTTACTGACTTTGGACGCTCTGTGTGTCTTAGTACACATGAGCTGCTCTCTCAACATCAGGAGTCTAGTGTGAAGACCATGGCTCTAGTGGCCCCATTAAAATCAGGTACCCCAAGCTCACCCCACATCCTTGGTTAAGTGAGACCACCCAAGCAACCAGATGTCAGTGTAGGAAAGCTGTGTGCAAATGGAAGAATATATATTTATAGTGGAAACTATCTTTGAATTTGACCTTGCAGACCAATTTTTATAGTGACCTTTCTTACACATAAATGCAGCTATACACCAAAATGGAAGTCTGTCCCTCATTTATTTTTCAAGTTACGCACACAACACGCACAAATGTATGGAGGGTATTTTTAATTCTCTCATTTCACTCCACGATGGGGACAAAAAAACAAGAGACTGGTCAAAGGAGAATGATCTCAAACAAACAAACAAACAAAAAAACATGTATCAGAGATCTAGTAAAATCAGCATACAGCACACATACATTGTACAAAAATGTACAAAGATACTTACAGGCCTTTTGGGATACATTCAAGAGTTAGACTTTGACCTCTTAAGGTCTGCACCAAAGTGTGGGAACCAGTGGGACGGAGGAGGTGTGGTCTTCTACCATGAATGACATCATTACCTGGGAGAAAAAGTGAAAGAGTGACCCCAAAAAAATAAACAATAAATTTATTTTTCTTCTTTCTGTTCTTTCGATGTCAGGGTTTGTCACAGTGAGTCATCCTCCTCCATCTTACTCTGTCACCTGTGTCCTCTGTCCTCACTCCAACTACCTCTGTATCCTCTCTAACTTTATCTCACAGTCCTTCAACCTGTGCTGTACCTTTGATGATCACATTCCTAATCTTATCCATCCTTGTCACTTTTGAGGAGAATCTCAATATCTTCAGCTCTGACACTTGTAGTTCAGTCTCCTGTTGAAACAGGAGAGATTGTAAGCTGTACTAACCAAATAAGAAACTACTAAACCCAATTAGATACCCAGTGAAAGTAAAACGCTGTTCTCAGGCAGTAAAGGCAGCTAAAGGATGTAGTACAACACAGAATATTTATCTTCTGTCGGAGCTAACACAGCCTATGTTAAGCAGACAGCTTGGGTTGGCTTAGGACCAGTATACAGAGAAGACACACGCATGGGAGCTGAAACAGATTTCAGAGCAGCTTATCTAGATGTTTTCCAGGGTTAAGGCCACCTGAGCTGTACCACAGAGAGACAGAACAAGGAGCAACACTGGTTGTCTTCTATGACCCCAGACAGATCCCTCTTCCCCTCAGAGATGCAATGTTTCTAGAATTGTGCTGCTCAAGGTGGCTGCATGTTGGAGTACTGGGTAGCTCTGTTACATTCATTGTGAGATATTGCTTTTGAAAACTTTAATTCTTCAATTTTTTGATGTAAATTGTTTTTTTCTTTTCTTCTTTTTTTTTGCATGATTGTTTCCTCTGGTATCAAAAGCTGTGCAGCTGGAAGGATTTTTACTAAAAACTTAACTTTTGGGCATTTGTTATAATGCATAACCATAACAACAAGGTCTTTTTTTTAACAACTGGGAGCAGCTGATTAACATCTCAAAAGCTCAATTATTACCTCAACTAAAGCCCCAAATCCCAAATAATTTGAAAAGGAGGCACCATGGACGCAGTCCCATCTGCATGGCAGCGGTGCTCGATTACCTGAACGCCAAGTTCCTGGAGCTGGCGGGCAATTCGGCTTCTGACAACAAGAAAACCAGGATCATCCCCCAACACCTGCAGCTGGATGTCTTCAACAATGAGGAGTTCAACAAGCTGACCATTGCTCAGGGAGGCGTTCTGCCCAACATTCAGGTGGTCCTGCTGCCCAAGAAAACTGAGAAACCTGCCAAGTCCAAATATATCACACCTGACTCCACCTGCAGGTGGATCACAGACTTCCTAACAGATCAGAGTCAGCGCGTGTGGCTGGAGAATGTTGTTTCGGACTCTAAGCACAGGATCTCCACAGGGCTGTGTACTTTCCCCTCTGCTCTTCTCCCTGTACACCAACTGCTGCACCTCCAGCCATGACTCCATAAAACTTATTAAGTTTGCGGACGACACCACCCTCATCAGGCTCATCTTGGATGGTGACGAGTCTGCCTACACGAGGGAGGTGGACCGGCTGGTAACTTGCTGCAGCAACAACAACCTGGAGCTTAATGCCCAGAAGACAAAGGAGATGATTGTGGATTTCAGGAAAGCCACAGCCCCTCTGCTCCCCCCTTGCCCTTAACAATACCCCCCCCCCCCTCCCCCCATCATCACTGTGGACCGTTATCGGTTTCTCGGCACCACCATCACCCAGGACCTCAAATGGGAGCTGAATATCAGCTCCCTCATCAAGAAGGCTCATCAGAGGATGTACTTCCTGCAACAGCTGAGGAAAGCCAAGCTGCCAGCCAAGCTGATGGTGCAGTTCTACACGGTCATCATCGAGTCCATCCTCTGCTCTTCCATCATGGTGTGGTATGCTGGGGCCACTGCCAGGGACAGACACAGACTGCAGCGCATTGTGTACCCATGACCTGTACATCTCCAGGACTGTGGAGCGAGCAGGTTGGATTACAGCGGACCTTTCTCACCCTGCATATGAACTCTTTGAGCCACTCCTCTCGGGAGGCTTCGGTCCATTCAGACCAGAAACTCCCGTCATAAGAACAGTTTCTTCCCCTCTGCCAACAGACTCTTGAACACTCATAATCACATTACTTTATAACTCTGCTTTGGTCACTTTATCACTGTATTTTAACTGCACTACTCCATTTGCACGTTTTTTTCTGAGTATTGTGTTGTATTGGTGTACATATGTTTTCTTTTATATTTTATTCGCACCTTTATGCCGAAGCAAGTTCCTAGTCTGTTCATTGACAATGGCAATAATAAACTGAATCTGAATCAGTTTCTTCAGATCCACTGTAAGAAGACCGCTACAAGAGATCCTTCCTGTCCACAGCCATCAGCATCTATAACAACTCTTTAATGAAAACAGGATGATGAGTTACAACAACATTTAATTTCCCTTTGGGATTACTAAAGTATTTTTGAACTGAATTGAACTTTTTGCAGAGTTGAACAGAACAGAGGAGAAGGGTGTCATTTCACGTCACTGAGCTGACAGCATGGTACTCAGGTCTGGTTGTCATCCCCAAAGTTGTAAAAAAAATAAAACATCTAGGATTTGTGTTGATCTCACACCCATGAATGCTGTTGTGAAAAACCATACCTCATCTCTTATCCCTAACCCTAACACCAGAGGCACAACCCATTATAACCTTCATAACTCTTTTTTTGAGGTACCAGTTTAACAGACTCACATTCAGAATGGATTTACAGGAAGCAGCAAGCTCAAAAGTTTTCTTTGAAAAACAAATAATTATATTTTGGCTTCTGCGAATGTAGGTCACTTGATGACAGTACAATGTTTACAATGGAGACTGATGGTGGTGGCATTTTAATTATAATGTGAACAGACACAAATATAAATCAAGTTTAGCAAAAACAAAAAATTGTAATTAATCAAGACCTACAGTGTGAAAGTGCCTAAATTAAAAATGACTAGTTATAACCTCCAGATAGTGCACAAACATTTATGAGATGGTCATAAATATGAGATGGTGCAGTTTTAGTTCTGAGATTGTATTTTATGTTTATTTGACAGATACTGAAATGCTTCCAGTTTGTAGTCAGGGCAACACTTGTGCGTGTGTACTTACTGGGTAGGACAGTCAGCCTTGCAACAGTGTCAGGGAGGATGGTCCTTGCTGCCGTGTAATGAGCAGTGCAAACGTAGTCGTTTCTGCTGTCATCAATTAGAACATTTGAAAAGTACAAGCTTCCATCCAGACCAATCACTACTCTCTCGCTCTGCTCAATGTGCACCATACCTGGGAAAAAAGACACAGGGTTAGAAAAATAACAGACGTAGGTTGAAAAACAAAAAAGTTTTCTTAAGTATAAATTTTAACTGTAAAATATATTTTGCAAAATCAATTGCAAATATTCTAACTACTTTATTTTGTGCATCTCAGTCCAACCCCACAAGATAAATCTGAACAAGCACAGATGTCTCTGTTGCTGAGGGATTTAAATAGTGAGAGGTTTTAGTTTTGGAGATGAATGTTTTTCTAGACTGGAACTAATCAAGGAATGCTGGTAAACCTTGATGTTTTTGGTGCAAGATATTCTACTGGGTAGGAATTACACTAGAGAAGAACAGAGATATCCACCACCAGGTGCAGTGGTGGAGCCAGGGGCTGGCCAATGGTAGCCTTGGCCTGCTTCATTTTAATTTTTTTTATTATTGATTATTTTTATTTTTTGGAAGGAAATAAAGAGAATGTCAATGAATTTCTGTGTTGTATTTTTCAATAATGACAAATCTTTAAAAAAAAAAAAAAAATTAAAAGGTAAACAAATTATAAATAAACAATGTTCATTAAAAGCCATGTCTCGAATGAGCTAAACTTTAAAGGCTATGCTAATGCTAAAATGGTATATGCAGGGAAGGGTTAGATTACAAAACTCACACATAAAACAAAATACAGAAAAACAACAGAATAATGACTCAACATTCACATTATTAAGACAGAACAGATCTTTAAGGTGTAATGATGGAGACAAAGCAAACTAAAGTCAAACTGTGAGTTTGACTCACTCATGTCCATCCAGTAGATTTTGGGAGGAGTAGAACTCTCTGGTGGGTCACAAGTCAGGATGCTGCTCTCTCCCTCGTATGCCGTTTGGTCCAGTTTGTTTTGTTTTACGAGGTAGGGATGAGCTGAAAGGCCAAGCAACAAACATGAACAATATTTTAATGTTCACATGAAACTGAAATGAAGAAGAACATGAAGACGTAGAGAAAAGAACATTCTTACACATAAGTTAATCTTTGTATAAAGAGGTTGTGTTTTTCATTTTGTTTTCGGAGGCTACAAATAATTGTTGTGGGAATAAAAGGAGATTCCCAAAACAGACCAAGGTGGAGTTCATCAGATTTATTTATAAAGCTTTGGAGAGCAGTCCAGCATTCACAGAACATGCAATTACAAGATCACACTGTTATCAGTGCTCTCATTCGTGTGAAACCCTGACCTGCTCTAACTTCCTGAACTGGACAAGTTAGTTTAATAGAATAATCTTCCTGTCCGTGCCCTCAGCCCCTCCCCCTCCGTGTCCGAGCTGTCATCGAAGGGAACGAAGGAGTGGATCTGAGTCAAGGACTCTGGTGAAGACACGTCACCATATTATAGCAATCAACCCTTGAGGATATATAAAACAACCATTATTTTCTGTTCCTCACTGACTGGTCACAGTAAGAATGATTACACGAGACCGTTTATCATTCACAGTCAGTCAGTAAATAGAACAGAGTATACCGTAGTCCCTCGCTACTTCGCGGTTCATTTATTGCAGACTCACTCTATTGCGGTTTTTCAAAATAAGATTGGACATGACACACAAATGGATGATTGCAGAATGAGCTGCACGATTGGCATTAAATTTTTTATTTAAAATTAATTATTTTGAATTATTTAGCACCTGCTGCACATTTGTACTACCCAGAGCTGCAGAAAAAGCTTCCTCCTAGATGAAGCCACTCGCCAAACTGGAAGTCTTATGCTTGAAGACCACCTTACTTAACTGCTTGAAAATACTATTTCAAAAATAATAATTCTGCAAAAAAACAAACAAAAAAAAACAACTAGTCAATCTTGTAGAGCTATCTCAGCTTGAAATAAAAAATATTTAATTTAAACAATTAAAAAAAAACTCTTTAGTGGTCTTTTATTTAAATTTTTTTTTTTCCAAATTTCATTTTTTTTAATTGACAAAATATTTATTTTATTCCAATTTAAATAAAAATATAATAATAAGGCATATCACCCCATTAGTACACCATAAATGATATTTTGACAATTCTTTGAAAATTCTAGTCTGGAGTTTTATGAAGACCCTCCATTCCACCAGAGCCTTCAGGTCTGGAATCTGAAAACGAGTCCTTGTTTTCAGACAAACCTGCTCTGGTCTCTCAGTATTCAGACATGACGGTTTTTTCAATCATTTTTTTTTCTTTTTCTTATTATTGTAATCATTTTTATTTTTAATGCTATCCATGGTAGAAACACTAGATTTAGATATGTTATTTTTTATTTTTGTATTTTTTGCTTTTACCTAACCAGATATATGAGCAAACTGTGGGAGCCCAGCTCTCCTGCTAATGATGTCCTGCTTTAGAGAAACCAACCACTGTCTGCTGGAACGTCAGATTCTGCAGCCTGCATGCACATGCAACAGCTCTTTACATCTAAACTAAAACAATTTTGTTGAACGAGATGAGAGGTGGGACTCTGCAATGACGTCAGGCTGATGGAAGGTTCTGCTTCCAGAGTGAGATCAGCTCAGTGCCTGTAGATTCTTACAGAGACAGACAGAAATATATAAAATTAGAAGAACACCTGTGAGCCAATATATAAAAATCTAAAGTATAGTGATAGAGGTAAAAAGTAAATGCATTACTGAGAGGACTTAATTATTTTATGAGGTGATAAATAAGACATTAGAAGTTATTCATAGTTTCTCATGTGGCAGATTAAACCACTCAAGAACACAATTGTAATAATTACTGTGAGGTTATGAAAGCGTTAGAAAAAATTGACAAAATAGAAATCGAAAGTTGAAGGATTTTTAGGCTTTGTCAAGAAAAAAAAGTTTATTGACTGCACCAAAATAAATTAATAAACGGAAACATGGACAAAAATGAATGTGTTGCTGATTTATTTTTCCCCATAAAATCTTCCAAGGGTTAACTGTGAAATTCAGCAGAGAAAAAAAAGAGCTATTTATTGTGGTGTAAACATAATTTAAGGATTTCCTTGTATAAGCATGTTACCATATTTCAAATTTCTTTTATATTTGTGGCAGTGGAGTCATCAAAAGAACATTTTCTGAAGACATATGGGTGAGTAGATCTAAAGATAATTTATCAAAAACTCTGTCAAAACTGAATTACTCTCTTCCTGTTTCTGGCACCACTTTGAGAATCAGTCTTCATCTGGACTTCCCAGCACTGCACCCCCCACCACTGTGATGAGTTTGTGTACAGGAAGTGGTTGCCACGGGAACAAAAGATAGGAGAGCAGAGCCGGTGAAGACGGGAAGAGGCATGAATCAGCACACTGATTTCATCTTGTGCTTGTGTGGGTGACTCACGTTCTACTATGACCTTTACAGTTTGTGTCATGGCCGTCCCCAGAGAGTTGGAGGCGTAGCAGCGGTAGAACCCGGCATAGGACTCCAGGGGTTCTTCTTTTTTGGCTTTTAATGTCCCAGATCCCATTGTCTCTGGGCCAAACTCTTTTCCATCTTTCTCCCAGCGGAAGCTGAAAGCAGAGCAGAGGACCCACTGTCACATCAACAATTTAAAATAAGGGTGTAACAACAGATTATGATAAAAACGTTTTTTAAAAATCAAGTTTGTGTATCATCAAGGCCACAATATCAGGTGTAACGAGCAGTTTGCCAATGTCCCCCATCTTTAGGGATTTGAATAGTGCATGTTTTTAGTTTTTGAGTGCTTGTCTGGACTGAAATTGAACAGGTAATGTAGGTAAACCTTAATGTTTTTTATAGAAGATATTCCAGTGAGCAGGAGTTACACTGGAGAGGAAGAGATTTTGGCATTTTTTGTTGTTGTCGTCTGAGCACGGAGTGATGGATGCTGGGAAGTGGAGGGAACAGTTTTAGCCACCACCAGGTGCAGTGGTGGAGCCAGAGAGTGACCAATGGTAGCCTTGGCTCCCATAGATTAATCTTCAGACACCCCAATCAGGAGTAAAACTCCTGAAGAAAGTGTACTTTTCAGCAACGTTAAAACGATAAAGTATAGTTTTAGAAAGCTTGTTTCAGATGGCTCTGATGAAAAAATAAATGCCAATAAGTTTCCCTCTTTTTGTCAGGACTCACTTTCATGCAGGTTTAGCAGGTATATGCTGGAGATAAAAAAAAAACCTTGTTTTAATGTTAACCTTTGTTTAACAACTGATGTCCCATCAGGATTGTTAACATTTACAGTATATCCTTGCCAACAACACATGCACTCTGGAAAGTACCACACAAGTTTAGCTGTTGCTCATACGTTGGTGTGGGGTTCCCAGTGGCCTCACAGGGGAGTGTGATGTCCTCATGAGAAAAGGCTGTAAATGATGTGGGCGCCTGGGTAAGACCAGGTGGTTTGAATACTGAAAACACAAGCACACATAGAAGTTCAATCCTCCAGAAGATGCAAGTGATTTTAGAGCAGATATGACTGAGATTAGTCTGAAATACTGACAAAGAATGGTGGCAAAGCATGTAAATGTAATAAAAGTGGAAGAAGTTGCATTGTCACAGTGACTGACAAAATTTATCGAAGAAGTTGAAGCTGAATTGTTCAACATTAATGAAGCAGAACACTCGCTAAAATCAGTAAAAGATTAGTTAAAAATATCAAAAGGCTAGCCGAAAGCTGAAGTAACAAAGAGCTGAAAGCTATGAAAAGCAAAGAAAAATGAAAACAGCAAAAGGCTAAAAGTTTTTAAAAAAAGAAGCTAGAAATTAAAAGTAGCAGAACTAACAACTAAAAGTATTTTACTGACAGCTAAAAGCTTAAAGTATATTGACTTCAAAGAGAACAATGTTTGTCAAGGAATTAAAATGATCTCAATGTTCTTCTATGGGGGAAAGATTTGTAAATGCAGGTAAATATTCTTAAAAATATGATTAAAAAAAGTTACAATAAAAAATGTCAAAGTTCCAACATCTGAATGAGCTGATTATTGTTAAATGAATGGGTAAAATAGCACAAAGTAAACAGGAGGTAAATAATAATAATAATTAATAATAATAATAATAATATAATAATTAATAATAATAATAATAACAATTTTGAAAAAAGAACAAATCAAAACATCAAAGTTCATGCTCAATAATCCAGGTAGAAAATCCAACAAAGTTCACTCAGGTCAAATCAAAACAGGAAAACAGTCGTACAAACACTGAAGGAGCAACATTTTTAAATCAAACATAGAAATACTTTTTCCCTGTCTTTTTCATAGAGGTTTCATTCTCAGACTCATTCTGTCAGAAAACAACAGTCTGCACTGAGTGTGCATCATCCACCAGAAGTCGAGTATTTATTGCCATGCACATCTGTAAACAATGTTTCCCTGTGCACTGAAAGACAGGTGAAAACCAAAAGTACCAACAAAGTGAAATGTGTACCGTGTTTGAAAGGTAGCGTCAAATAAGGCAAAAAAAAGTGCAATCAGATTTACACAATCAGGTGACTTTACAGATGTTTTAGATCAGATTTAAGAATCTTATGCGCTTGGAATGAGAAGTTTTTAAGGCCTTGTTTCCATGTGAACAGCCTCTGGATCCTATAGTTAGGATCAACTATACTATGGTTAGAGTCAGCTTGGGTTTTCTGAGCTATCCCATAGTTATGCTGCTTTAGGCTTAGACTGCTGGAGGACAAACTGACCTCATTTACTCACTCTACTGCTGTCTTTACTTGCTCTACTCAACCTGTCTGTATTTGTAATTATTTCTATCTTAACGTTTTTTTAAAGTACACCTGTAGTTCTACATTTGTCTGTTTCTCCTTCCTGTTCCTCTCAAATCCCAGCCGGTCGAAGCAGATGGCCACTCGTCCTGAGCCTGGCTCTGCTGGAGGTTTCTTCCTGTTAAAAAGGAGTTTTTCCTTTTCACTGTTCATGTGCTTGCTCAGGATGGGAGACTGCGACAAAGAGTTTGATTGTTTTGTTGTTGTTGTTGCTTTTAGGTATATGAGCATATGTATGTAAGG